TGAAGAGCTGGTAATCTCCCCAAGAATGGCAGGGCATGTAATGGATGGGCTTGGGGTGAAGCCTGGTGCTTCTCATTTCACTTTAGTTCAACAGGCATTTATTCTCAACTAACAGCAAAGCTACAGAGCCATAAAAAATCTGGATGCATTGCAAGGTAATTAGAAAATAATTCAGGCCTTCCCTTGAATCCCTCAGCAATGCTAACAGAATGAACAAGTGGCTTCTTCCCTAATCTGCTGGGTGATGAGCAGCTTAGTGCTCTGGGCAGTTCTGGATCCCACCCATAGACTTCCTAATACCATGTGCTGCCCATCCACACACTGTGCAAACCCAACAGCAGTCCATTTAGTGGACATCTATAAAATCCACTTATTCCATTTGTCTCTTGAAAAATAATGGGGGTCAACTGGAATGCTTAATTGCGGCATTTCAGACTAGAAACCAGAATTAATAGCCTGAAATCTGGAATGATTCATAGATGAACAAAATGTGAAAGCAAAATTCTCCACCAAGAGCTTATCACAGTCTCCCCAGAGCGTGTTGCAATAATGAGGGTCAAAGCACTCGATGAGTCGTGATGAATGACCGTCAGGATGGTGCCACACTGGCTGGAGGTCATCCACTCAGCTCCCTCATCATTAATTAATCCTCCAGAAACAACTTCTGCCCTAATTGTTTGGCTGCAAAACTCTCCAGATGAATTTTAGGAAATAGAAATTATGCTCTTCAGGACCAATTCTACCCTGGCAACTGGACATTGAAAGTTGAGGTCATGGTCATTTGCATATCTTTAAGAATCATCTAAACAAAAAATAATGCTTTAAGACCATCTCTTCCTCTATTTATAAGAGGAGGTAATATTAAAAATAGTTTTATAACCAGGTGGTAGAAAACAGACCCAAGGCCAACATCATACTGAACAGAGAAAACCTGAAACATTTCCTTTAAACTCAGGAACAAGACAAGGATGTCCACTCTCGCCACTCCTCTTCAACATAGCCCTTGAAACTCAACTCAGAACAATCAGGCAAAAGAAGGAAGGTCAAGGGATCCAAAAAGGAAAAGAAGAGGTCAAATTACCTCTGTCTATTGGTGATATGATCCTATGTCTACAAGATGCAAAAAATTCCACCAGAAGACTTTGCAGGAAAGTAGCAGAATGCAATATCAACATTAATAAATCAATAACTTACGAATATAATACCCCTATAATGAATCTTCTGAAAAGTAAATTAGGAAAACTATCCCATTCACAATGACCTAATAAAATACTTGGGAATTAATATAAGAAAAGAGGTAAAGACCCCCACAATGAATATTATGAAACACTGAAGAAATAAATTGAAGAAGACCTTAGAAGATGGAAAGACCTCCCATGTTGTTGTACAGCAGAATTAATATTGTCAAAATGTTCATAATACCAAAAGAGGTACATACAGACTCAGTGCAATCCCCATTCTGAATACCAATGACATTCTTCACAGTACTAGGAAAAAAAAAACAGTTATACAATTAATTTGGAAGAATAACATATCCAGAAGAGCCAAAGCAACCCTATTTAGCAAGAAGAACAATGCAGGACACAGCACGATATATCTTAAATTCTATTACGGAGATATAGTAGCAAAAACAGCAACACCATGCAGACATGAAACCAAGGGACTAGAATAGAAATGTAGAGACAAGCCCCATGTTGGGACAGTCATCTGATATGCAAGGGAAAAGATGATCATTTTAACAAATGGTGCTGGGAAAACTGGATATCCTTATGTAAAAGGAGAAACTAGATCCTTTTTTTTTCATCCTGCATGAAAGACAAATTAAAGTGGATGGAAGTTGTAGGAGTTAGAACAGAAACTTTGCAACTGGTAGAAGAAAAACTCAGGGTCAACACTTCAACATATTGGTATAGGCACTGGCTTCCTTAACAAGACCCCTAAAGCTCAAGAAATAAAATTTTAAAAAATCAACAAGTGGAAGGCCATCAGACTAAAAACACATCTACACAACAAAGGAAACAGAGTGTAGAGAGAGAGCCTGCAGAATGGGAGATCTTTGCCTGTTCCTCCATAGAAGACGAATATCCACAATATGTAACGAAGTCAAAAATTTTAACACCAAAAAACAAATGGCCCAATTAATAAATGGGCAGAAGAACTAAACAGACACTTTTCAAAAGAAGAAACACAAATGGCCAAAAATATATGAAAAATGTTTGACATCTCTAGCCATCAGGGAAGTTCAAATTAAAACTACATTGAAATTCCATCTCACTCCAGTCAGAATGGCAAGGTCAAGAATGCAATTAATAATGAATGCTGGTGAGAATATGGGGGAAAGGTACAAGGTTGGTGAGACTGCAAATTAGTCCAACCACTCTGGAAAGCAGTACGGAGATTCCGCTAAAAGCTAGGAATCAAACCAAATGACCCAGCTGTCCCACTCTTCAGTATTTATCCACAAAGAATTAAAATCAGCATACTATAGTGAGGCAGCCCCATTAATGATTTAGCAGTGCAATTCACAGTAGCCAAGTTGTGGATCCAGCCCAGGGGCCAGCAGATGAATGGATCAAGAAAATGTTTGTATATATTCACATGGAGTTTCACTTAGCCACGAGAAGAATGCAGTTGTGGCATTTGCTAGTAGATTGACGGAATGAGAGAACATCCTGCTGAGTGAAAGAAGCCAGACTCAGAAAACCCAGGGTTGGATGTTCTCTCTCATATGCTGGAACTAGAGCAAAATAAGGTGTGGAAAGGGCGGTCAGATATCAAGAAGTCAGAGGGAAATCAGTGGAGTCGAAGGAGTTCAAGGTGAGAGAGACAGGAAAGGGGGTAATGCCAATGAACATGACAAAATCATACTGTGTGTATGGCATAGCATACCACGACCTCCACCTTTATGGATATCTATAAGGCACCAAGTAGAAATAAACAGATTACAGGTGTAATCCCAGCAGTGCAGGAGGCTGAGGCAGGAGGATCACAAGTTCAAAGCCAGCCTTAGCACAAGTGAGGCACTAAGCAACTCAGCAAGACCCTGTCTCTAAATAAAATTCAAAATAGGGCTGGGGATGTGGCTCAGTGGTCAAGTATTCCTGAGTATAATCCCTGGTACCCCCTCCCAAAACAGTAAAAATAGAAAAATAAGTGAAAGGCAGACCAGTAGAATAGAGAAAGGGGAATAGAGGGAGGGAAGAAGGGAGGGAAAATATGGGTACTGGAGGAGAAAAACAATAACCAGTTTGCAAATTATAGAATAAAATTAATTTGTGGACAAAAAAATGTTTTTACAACTACATACAATTTTGTATTCTCTCGTCTATCTGCAGAGAATAGTCCAAGGTCCACCAGGGTAAAGTTGGTGGGAGATAGAATATCATGGGCATAAATTTAAACTAATGAGGCCTTTCCAGTGGGGTTGGGCCGATTTAAGGCTCAGCTCTCTATTATAAGCATGAAATGAGGGTCCTGTTAACAGAGGGAAAGGGAGCATGGACCTCCGGCAGGCAATGCAGGATCCTGTCCTTCACTCCCAGGCCCCCAGGCCTGGAGATGGCAGAGAACCCTGCTTTTGCTCAGACCCGGCTGATGTCCAGATGATAGAAAAGGGAGAGCCATCATGCATGGCCTTTAACAAGTTCATTTCTTTCTTATTTCTACTAATTCTTTGGGGAAAAAATGAAATCACATCCAATTATCTGGAAGCATGCAAGCTGAGAAGAGAGCAGGGAGTCTGCCCGCTCACTCACCCTCTGCCAGGGGATAAATCACCTTTAGGATAAACTGGGCCTTAAGGCTTCTCCTAGGCCTGGAAGTCCTCACAATCTTCCTAAGCTATGCACTGTTCTGTCCACGAGGAAGAACCTTGAGAGACTGATTTCTATAATGGTTTTTGAGCCTCTTTCAGGACACAAAACATCTCTTTTAATACTGGATGCCACTTGATCAAAGGAGGAAAGAGAATCACCAAATCTGTTGCTATCGTCCCTGAACCCAGGGCCATTTTTACGTATCTTACAGTTAAACGTGTACCTAGGACATCTTTGACTCAAGCTGTCTGGAGGATGTTCTCAGCATCTTAAGTGAAATACATAGTAAACCTGTCATCTCTCAAATCTTAGAAGGATAATACTACCTGGCAAGAGCACATGTCCACACCTCTTGGCACTGGTAAAGAAAACTTTAGTAACACCATTTTCTAAAGGCCTCTGGATTTGACAGGTGCAGGCTGGTGTCACGCTGTGTTAGCCCCATATAATGTGAAATGAAAAATAGCATTACAAACCCCATAAAATAACTCCCAGAATTAATCAAAGACCCTCTTTCAGGGGATCAAGACCCCATGTCCACTGGCCTGGCCTTTCAGCCATGCATGCCCGCCTCGGGGTGGCAGGGAGCTCCTCTCAGGCACCTCTCTGGTGGAGCGCTGCTAATTTAAGCCACGCGCTCAGCAAGCAGGGCTTCCCCAGCACGGCAGTTCATAAAAAATGTATCAGCTCTAACCGGAAAGCAGCCTTCTGAAAATGCTGAGCGTTCTTCTCTGAGTCTTGGTGAGACAAGATTTACAAGGGCCTCCTCACAATCAGCCGCCTCCCGCCCAGCAGCCCAGTCTCTAAGGGAAGAGGGTCCTGGCCCCTCCTGACATGGGCTGCCCTTGCCGCCCTGTAGGGACTGAGCGCCAGACTCAGGGAGCCCGCGGCAGACGAAGGGCACTGTCTGCAGTGATGCTCAGCAGGCCTCTGGAACAGAACATTAGACAGGAATGTGGGTGCAGTGGGTGGCCTCCCCCCACTCACCACACCCAGTGCACAGAGAAGCCGGAGCCGAGCACCTAGAAGGGACAAGTTTCTGCCCTGAAAATGTCAACAACTGCGCCCCATGCCGGGAACGTGACCCCTCGTAACCAGTCCCCAGCTAACCAGGAAAAGCACACTGCCACCGCACGCCCCTGACACACGGCTCCGGCACGCAGAGACGTAGCACCCCTTAGTTACTTGCTGAGGCCTCCAGCTTGCGCTTGTGGGGGGGGTCCTCGATGATCCTCTTGAGGTCCCCGCGGTCCTTCAGGTCCACCGGCTTCTCCCAGACGGACAGCTGCATCGTGGGGTTGAAGAAGAAGACCCGGTCATCGCCCGTCCAGACCACGCACCTGTGGAGCCGAGACTCACCTCAGTCACTCTCAAGACACGAAGACCAAAGCCACTAGCGTGCGCCCTGACTCCTAGTGCCCGTCATGACCGGAAGCCACAGGGGGTGAGGTCATTCATGTGAAGCATGAACAGTCTCACTAGCAGGTGAATGTCCCCAGGCCTGCTCTCCTCCCAGCCAGGGTCCCCAAAGCTCAGGGCAGGCAAGCAGCTCCCGAGGCCACCCCAGGTGGGGCTCTGTTTAATCTCATTCCCGCTCAGACTGGGTGCTCTGGGGCACCTCTCGGGGGAGGGAGTAACCTGGAGATGGCTTCCCTAAACCCCCCTGGTTTGGCACCCCAGGGCCATGGAGGAGCCCCCAAGTCGCAGCTCACTCTCCCGAGGGCCACTCCACCAGTGTCTGAGCCCGGCTCCTGCTCACCTTCAGGAGAACAAAGACTCCCCTGAAATGGGATTTTCGGGTGTGGAAATCTCAATAATCTGAAAGGCATCATCTGCAGTCATCAAACCCCTGACTCGCGGAGAGTTATCAGAAAAGATGAAGAATTTAAGAAGAGGAGAGAGAGAGGAGAAAAGCCCCTTCCCAAAGATCACGGCACCACCAGGTGATGCACAGCGGAGTCTGGGTTCCGACCTCTATGAGTCCTGCAAAAGCGGCCAGTTGAGGCCAGCTAGGGTGGCCCTGGCCATGAGCTGCCCCCAACTGCTCTAGGGGTGCTGCAGAGTGAGCTCCTTACTGGCCCAGTCCTGTTTCTCGTCTGGGCCTCTGTGAGGTTCTCTTGGACCAGGTGTCCCTGGGCCCCGGCTTCCTTAGCCTCTGAGTGGCCTGGTGCTGTGATTTTCTGTCCACCTCTCAGCTGCTGGGGCGATGGGCAGGGGTCAGCCACATGTGCAACCATCTGGCTAAAGTTCCCTCAAGAAAGGACCCCTGACCAAAGGGGAGCGCCGACACTGCCCAGGCCCCAGCTTCCCGCTCACACCTCACCCTGCAGCCTCACACAGTGTCTGCAGCCGGCCTGGGTCGGTGCCAGCATGGGTCTCTCTGTCCTGCACTGAGAAAACCTCCCATGCTCACCCTTGTTGGCTAGCCATGCTCGTGGGCTGCACAGAGGGCTCGGGGACCCAGCCCACATGTGATGACCTCTGGGCACCTCCAAGAAATAACCCTGAGAAAATCTACTGGACTCCCATCCTGACCAAGCAGGGTTCCAGGGTGTGGTGGACAGAACGATGGTCCCAAAGATGTCCACATCTCCTTACTTGTTGGTCCAGGTGTGCAGACCAACAAGTACGGAGCTCACTCTGCAGCACCCCTAGAGCAGTTGGGAGCAGCTCATGGCCAGGGCCACCCTAGCTGGCCTCAACTGGCCACATTTGCAGGACTCATAGAGGTCGGAACCCAGACTCCGCTGTGCATCACCTGGTGGTGCCGTGATCTTTAGGAAGGGACTTTCCCCAGAACCCAGGCATGAATCACCGACTCAGCAAAGGGGCTCTGCAGATGTGGTGAGATCGTGAGTGGGAAGAGTTCTGGATGATCCAGGTGGGCCCAAATGTAATCACAGCTGTCCTTGCAAGAGTGACACAGGAGGGGAGGCTTGAGGACAGAAGCAGAGGTGGCACCTACCACACACAGAGGCAGAGAGACAGGAAGAAGCCAGCGACCCGCCTTGAAGGTGGAGTGAGAGGCCAGAGCCCAGGAACCCAGATGCCCACTGGAAGCTGGAAAGGCAGCTGGAGCAGCCCACCCTGGGCAGCCGGGCACCATCTTCCAGGCCCTCCCTTCCCTGTCCTAACAAGGACCCTCCAGTGCAGGCACTGGGTGCTCTGGGTGCCTCGGGCCTGAGCCAGAGATGGATGGGTCTGGAGTGGGCTTCCCTAGCCCTCCCAGCTAAGCACTGCCTGGCCATGGAGACAGGCCCAAGGCCACACCCACCCTCCAGCAGCAGAAACCAAGCACACACTCTCATCAGCCAATGCTAGTGGCTTCTGGCCTCCAGAACTGGAGGAGCCCAGGCGCGCAGACCAACGTGTGGCTCTGTCCCCAGAGGCCCAGCCCGAACATGCAGCACCCAGGCCCTGAGCAGTGCACCCAGAAACACTGGCCATGGTAGGCCAGCTCATGACACCCAAAGAAGACTGCAGCTCCCCTTCCTAGCCAGCATGTCCTCGACCTCCTGGGGACCCTGAGAGGACCTCACTCCCTCTTCCCTGTTGGTGAGGGGGAGGTCCACCTCATTACGGGAGATGGAACTAGGGCCGAAGAGCCTGGTGCTCCAGGCCAGGACCCGCCTCCCACTGACCAGACCTGTGCCGGGGGCTAGAAGATGAAGACAAGATCCATGAACTGAACCAGGACCCCTACCCAAGGGGTCAGGTCCCTTTCCTGTTCGCAGGCCAGGCAGGTCTCTGCCCTGGGAGACGGTCAGGAGAAGTGGAGCCCCGTGGGGCCTGGAGGGAGGCTGCAGGCCTCCACAGGGGGACCAGCTGGCACTGAGGGCTTTGCTGAGTGCAGAGCTGGAGGTGGTGACGCAGTGCTGAACATCATGCGGGGTTCATCTGCTGCATGGACTCCCTAGACCATGGCCAGCAGGGAGCACAAACCCCTCACGGGAGCCATGCTCCTTCCCCTGGACGCAGGGCTGGGGAGGGCTGGCCATGTGCATAGCTTGCCAGGACCCCACTAGACCCCCCCACTGGGCTCACCCTTGGGGACTACTGTGCAGGGGAGGGAGCCTGCTGAGAGTCAGGCCAGCTCCAGCTCCAGCCCCCACACTGGCTTCAAACGCCCTCCCATTGGGCTGTGATGGAAAACAGCTCTGAGAGGAGCCCCGGGAGCTGACAGTCCATTTGCAACAGTGTTGCTCGAGTTCTCTCTCCTTCAGGACCTTTGACGGACTTGGCTTGGGTAGGAAATTCTAGAAGTCTCCCTTGTTCTCTATATCCATCTGTCCACTCATAATGTCTCCCTAGAAGAAGGACTGCTTCCTGTGGTCTAGCCACAGCAGACAGACTGACTGGCATGGCCATCAGGTCAGAAGGTCATCCTGCCCTGAGGTCCCACCAGCACCTGTGACCTGGGCACCACACCCCAAGGTAAGGCCCCAGGGCCTTAGCAAGGAGATAACAGACTGTTCCCTCCTCTCGAGCCCTGGCTGGGAGTCCAGGGTGGGCTTTGCTTCTCTGTCTCAACACCTTAGAGCACAGGTCCCTGGCTGCCGGCCTCCAAGTCCTCATTCCCAGAAGAAGGCTTCCTTCCACCCTCAGTCTCCAACCTCAGTCCTAACTCCTGGACTCCTTTCCTCTTATTCTTCCAACTTGGAACCAGGACCTGGTCACAGCCATCGTTGGGGCCCCTCCCTGCCAAACCATCTCACTGGCAGGACGCCCACTCTGATCACGTGAGCACGGGCTGTGCCCTTGGGAGGCCTGCAGGCCCCGACTGTCTGGGTCGGGGTAAAAGTGTGGCCAAGTCTCTCTGGTGCAAGTCACAGTCTGAAGCATGGCTGGGCTCCGACCAAGACCCCCTGTCCTCAGAGCCCCCGCCCGGCCTCCTGTCCTCCTCTCTGGCTGACGTCCCCCTTAACTTTCAGGCATGGGCGCTGCATCCAGGAGCCCTGCTCAGGACCAGCCCCACAGGTAGGGAAGAACTGGGTGTTCTCGGGAAGCTTCCCAGTAGACTAGTTGGGAGGCACTCACAAACCTCACCTTCCTAAAACACCCGCACTCCGGGTTTTCGGAGAGAAACCCGAGGCCTCCCAGCATGGCACAGCCTTTGCGGGACCCAGGAGGTAATGAGAAGCGCTCACTGAGGCGCAGCGGTTCATTAAGACCTGGTGCTTGGAGAATGCATCGGCTCATTTAATCAGTGCCACCGTGGACAGGGCATTTCTGTCCCAACTACTAAGAAGCTGGAGGCCTTGGAGAGTCAGCCTCCAGGCAGAGGGCAAGGTGGGTGCCAGCTACCCCAGCCTCCAAGGGCTCCGCAGGCTTTCCCAGTGTGGGGCAGATGGGCTCCCCAGGTGTTCTGTAGTACCTGCTGGCTCTCCTGAAGGTGAGGGCCTCCTGGGTTCTGAGCAGGCTCTGGTTAGAGGA